CAGTCCTGAGGAAGAAGGGAAGGAACCAGTGGGTTCAGGGACACCATGAGAACATGTCCCACAGAATCATCTGACTGGGACTCGTGAGGACTCCAGAGATCAGGGAGTCTGTAGGGTTCTAGGTCCTCTGCATATGTGTTATGGCTGAGTAGCTTGCTGTTCTTTTAGATAACAGTGGGAGTGGGGGCTGTCTCTGACTCTTTTTTAAAAATAATTTATTTTAACTTTTTAAAAATTTATTATGCATACAGTGTTCTGTCTGCATGCATGCCTACAGGCCAGACAAGGGCATCAGATCTCATAGATAGCTGTGAGCCACCATGTGGGTGCTGGGATTTGAACCTGGGTCCTCTGGAAGAGCAGCCAGTGCTCTTAACTGCTAAGCCATTTCTCCAGCCCTCTGAATCTTTTTTTAAAAAATAAATCCATTTTTTAATTTAAATTAAAAGCAATCTTATTTTTCCATACTAATCCCATTTCCTTCTCCCTTCATCCTCCTACTTCCCCCCACCATCTCCCCATTCCACCCCTCAGAGAGGGTGAGGCCTCCCATGGGGGATCACCAAAGTCTGTCTCATCATTTGGGGTATAACTGAGGCCCTCCCTGCTGTACTCTAGACTGAGAGAGTATCCCTCCATAGGGAATAGACACTAGGGTTCCACTGCCAGCAGGCCCATAGACTGTCCAAGCTCCCTAACTGACACCCACATTCACAGGGACCTAGTTCAGTCTTATGCAGGTTCCCCCAGCTGGCAGTCTAGAGTCTGTGAGCTCCCACTTGCTCAGGTGAGCTGTTTCTATGGGTTTCCCCAACATGGTCTTGATCCCTTTGCTCATCAGTCCTCCCTCTCTACAACTGGATTTCAGGAGGTTGGCTCAGTGTTTAGCTGTGAATCTCTGATTCTGCTTCCATCAGCTACTGGATGAAGGCTCTATGATGGCATTTAAGGTAGTCATCAGTCTCATTATGGGGGAAGGGCATCAAAGACAGCCTCTCCACTACTGCCTAGATTCTTAGTTGGGGTCATCTTTGTGGATCTCTGAACTTTCCCTAGTGCCAGATTTCTCCTTAAACCTATATTTTGGCTCCCTCTATTAAGGTATCTCCTTTCTTGCTCTCCTCTATTCCTCCACTGTCTCAGTCTTCCTGATCCCTCTTGTTCTCTTCCCCCTCCTCTTCTCCCCTTCTCTTTTTTCCTACCTCCCTCCCGTCTACCCCCTCTCTGTGCTCCACATTTTGCTCAGGAGTTCTTGTTCCTTTCCCCTTCTTTGGTGGACCATGCTTATCTCTCCTAAGGTCCTCCTTGTTTCCTAGTTTCTCTGGTGGTGTGGATTGTAGGTTGGTAGTCCTTTACTCTATGTCTAAAAATCCATATATGAGTGGGTACATACCATGCTTGTCTTTCTTGACTGGGTTACCTCACTCAGGATGGTTTCTTCGAGCCCCACCCATTTGCCTGCAAATTTCAAGATTTCATTGTTTTTATCCATTGAGTAATACTCAAGTCTTGAACTGTTTGAATTGTTTCCTTTATCTGTTTGATTGTTTTTCTTAGCTTTTCTTGCTTTCTTTAAGGGATGTGTTGATTTCTTGATTTTTTTTCTTTTTTGGTTTGTCTTTTCCTCCATTCTTTAAGGGAGTTTCTCATTTCCTCTTTAAGAACCTCTATAATCTTCATAAAGTTCTTTTTAAGGCTGTTTTCTTCTGCTTCTGCTTCATCTGCATTGTGATGTTCAATCAACAATTGATTGCTGGTGTACAACCCCTAGTCTCTGGTGGTGCCACACTACTCTTTATGCTGTTGAATGTGTTTTTATAAGTGGTCTGCTCATCTCTTCCTCCAGTGATTGTACATGGGGCCTGTGGCTTAGGTGGTCTCTGTTCTTCTTCCGGTGGGGACAGGACCAAGGCTCCAATGGTGGTGGGTGCAGTGCTGGATGGTTTGGGGTGTGGGGAGGCTGCAACCAGGTCTCTGGGTCTTCTGAGGTCAGGAGTAGGGAGTATAATATGCCCCAGGCAATTAGGGCCTAGGGGTTAGGCGGTCCAGTGGTGTTGGGGGGGCATCACCTCTCCCAGTGGGAGAGACCTGTCTCTGACTCTTTTTTCTGTTTGTGGAACAATTTTGCTCCTACTGGATTGCCACATTCAGCGTTTATGTGATGCCTGGTCTTATTGTAGCATGTTGTGCCGTATTTGATTGATGTCCCTGGTTGGTTGATGGAGAGCCCATGGGTCTGCAGTAGAGAGGAGGTGGTAAAGGGAGCGACTGGAGGAAGGGCATGGGGAAACTGTTGTTGATATGTAATATAGGAGAGAAAAATAACTGAGTAAATAAATAAATAAATACACAATTTTAGCTTATGTGGCGGGTCAGAACAAATCCCCATATGGAGAGGAAGGTGAGTGTGAAGATCCATCCATACCCAAGGAGCTGTGGGCAATTGATAGCTCCCAGAAGGAGGTAAGTCAGTTTTCTTTAAGAATGTTACCATTAGTGTGTCAACCACACTCCAGTGGAAGACCACGCACCAAGAATACATGGAGAGTGAATATGTGTTTTGTTTTTGTTTCTCTTTTTAAGAACAAAGTAGGGTAGGTAGGGAAGAAGGTTGGATCTGAGATATATTGGGTAGTGGTTGAATATGGTCAAAAGTAATTGTACAAAAATTTCAAAGAAGTCATAAAAGAAAAAGAAATTTCAGGACATACTTCAACAAATAAACAAAACCAAAGAGGTGAAAAAATTCTAGATGAAATGGACTGATGCACAAATGAACTTACAGATTGTGCCATGCATAAGACCTCATAGGTTCAAGTCACAAGGGTCCCAGCACTTAGAGGACCTGACATGGGGTCCTACCCATAAACAAGAGGACAATTTATACCCACTGGCAAAGGGAAATCAGTTTTCTCCAGTGGAGTCTTACTGCTTTTATCGAATACAAACCAAGGAGTAGTTGGTCAACACAAAATGAACTCTGTGTGTGTGTGTGTGTGTTTGTGTGTGTGTGTTTTAGAACATTTAGAAAGTAGAGGGAGAGGGAACTGGGATTGACATGTAAAACAAGCTATTTAAAATTAAAAAATATATAAAAAATTAAAAGAAAAGAAAGTAGACTTGAGGTTATAGCCTTGAAGCTGGGCTGAGACTCAGGAGAACTCAGATCCCTTTCTTCTGCCAGACTGAAATTTACCTTCTCCCTTTGATTCTTGGCAATATGGATTGTCTGTAGCACTGTAATAACTGCATTCTAATGGAATCCTCAGTGACAACAGGTGAACTGAGACACCCTCGGGAATGGTTCTTTACCATAACTACTGATTTGCTCCATGCCTCCTGAACTTAAAGACCAGTCAGCTCCTAGGGACAGGACTATGTAAGTATCTTACAGGGTCTGTATAAATACAAAGAGAGCTGAGATCTGAGATGCAGCGACATGCTATTTATGATTTATTAAAGCTTGCCTGAGGATTCAGAAAGAAAAGTCAGCCACAATCTATAGAGGTCAATAGGTAATGTCACACACCTTTAATCCCAGGATTCAGGAGATAAAGGCAAACAAATCTTTTTAGTTCAAGGCCACCGAAGGATACATTAAAGTGACTCAGTCTAAAAGAATTAGACCTCACACCTTTAATTCCAGAACTCATGGGAGTTATATAAGATAGGAGAAAGGTCTCAGAGATGCAGTTCATTGTCAAGTCACATTGAAGTCAGTATCAGGCATTCATTCTCCAGCCACATTGAGGACAGGCAACAGGATCAGCCCATTCAGCCTGAGGTAGTGGTAGAGCAAGTGGCCTGCTACTTTATTTTTCTGTTGTTCAGTCTCTGGGTCTTTTATTTTTCATTTAACACCGAGATGGCTCAGGGGGTAAAATGCTTGCTGCACAAATGTGGGGACCTGAGTTATGACCCCTAGTAGCTACATGGAACCTTGGCATAGTGGTGCACCTCTGTAACCCAAGTGCTGAGGGTCCCCATCACTGATGGATGAGCTCCAGGTTCAGTTAGAAATCCCGCTCCCAAGATATGATGAAGAGCAATAGAGAAAGGTAGTCAGTGCCAACTTCTGGCCTCCATATACACCCCGGTACACACGTGTACAAGCACTCCCAGACATGAACACATGCAGAAACAGGTACACAGAGAGAGAGAGAGGGGGGGAGGGAGGAGAGGGAGAGAGGGAGGAAGAGAAAAACAAGGCTTCTTTATTATTGAGAATCTTAAGACACTAATAATAAATCATTAAAACAAACTTAGGGTCTTTTTGAGCCAAAAGGGGTTGTGAGCCCATGAAGGCAGCCATATTTAATAATATTGGTGACATATTTCTCTCCACTCCATGCTCTCTAACACCCCAACACTCTCTCTGCAGTGGCATATTCCCAAATGGTTGCTTAAGAAAGGGAGAGTTACTGATCATTCACTGTTTGGAATATGTGTGTATGTATGTATGTATGTGTACATGGATATATATGAGTTTAGATATCCAGTCCAATCACCTCATTTGAAAGATGCCTGAAATGCATCCCAAAGAAATGAAGTCGCTTTCTAATTGGCCAGGGTGAGGCTGACTCACACACAGCCCTAGGGAGAGCGAACTCTTAGTTCTGGTCCAGTCTTAGGCTAACTATAAAAGAATAAGCAATTCTCTTATATACATTTTTGAGTCCCAGCTACATATTAAGGAGCACTCATGGTGTTTTATATGTAATTCGTCAATTCAAAATATTGAGAAAAACCAGGCAGTGGTGGCACATGCCTTTAATCCCAGCATTCAGGAGGCAGAGACAAGTAGATCTCTGTGAGTTCTAGGCCAGCCTGGTCTGCAGAGTGAGTTCCAGGACAGCCAAAGATACACAGAGAAAACCAAAAAGATATGGAGAAAAAGTACAATTCTGTACCCACACACAAATAAAATATTTTGAAAAACAGTCATCAATACATATGCCACATCACTTTTTTTAATTTAAGGAAACACTACTTACAAAGCATGTGAGAACAATATTTATTTTCCTTTTAAATACCAGTTCATATATATCTTAAGGAACATAAAACAAATGAAGTTCTAACTAACTTTTACATTTTGGGCTTTGACAAGACTGGGAATATTCCAGTGCTCATGAAAGGATGAACCTGCCTGGCATTAACAAGATGGAGAGAGGTCTGGCATCAGGTTAACTCTTCAGGGTTGCCCTGGGCTCTAAGAAGCGTGCTCATTCCTTCTTAAAGATCCTCTTGGCTTCGACTCCTTCATATTTGTAGGTCTGAAAGATGTTGACAAACATAAGAGAAAGTGTCATTAAGAGAAAATCCCAAATTAAGGAAAATAGTAATTTTAGAGGCTATTCTATATTTTCTTATATTTGGTAGAAGCACTTCATGAAGGTATAGAATAGAACCATTGAAATTACATTTTGGGTTGTAGACATTTATATTTTTTGTTAAAATAGGAATTGATTATATATATATATGTAAACTCTACTCAATAAATAGGTGCCATATATATTTACAAGAAAGAAGTAACAGTTTAATTATTAAAGGTGCAAGTCAGCAGCTATAAAGTTCTTGTTCATAATCATTTTTGTCTTTGGAATGTAGTTATAAATCTTTCTTACAACTTACCTGAACTAGTTCACCACCAGAAATTTCTCGAATAGCAATCAGCTCCTTTCCGTTGTCTACACGTTTGAATTTTGCAATAAGTTGATTTCCCTCAAGGCTCCAGCTCCCCTGCATCACAATAATTAGGCAGCATTTATTATGGTCCTATATGTCTCTAACATGATTTCCAGTTTACAGACCCACATTGTCACTCAGTGACCCTATGGACTCTATGAAGTAATACATTACCTCCATTTTGCATCTATGGGGACTGGAGTGACAGAGCAATTCCTCAGATGTCAGAAAGGGAATTGGACATGAGCTGTGAGAGTCAAGGCTGTACTGGGAACTGTAATCACCTGACAACTGTTATATACTGAATATTAGTGCAGATGACTAGTGGTTATCATTAGTGATAAAATATGTAACAGTTAGACTGTCTTTGCAGGGCTGACAAGATGGCTCAGCTGGTGAGAGAACTTGCAACAGAAGCATGAGGAACTGAACTCAAATCCCTAGAATCCATGTAAAAAGCCAGCCGTGCTCACATATGCCTATGACACCCATGCTGTCGAGAGCAGAGACAGGAGGATCATGGGCTTCAGGGCCACCAGCCTGCCTCCAGGTTCAGTGAGATACCCTGTTTCAAGGGAATAAGACCTGCAGCAGTGAAACAAGGCACTTGATGTCCTCTTCTGGCCTTATGGGCATGTCCAACCACCACACACACACACACACACACACACACACACACACACACACACACACACACGTACTACAAATATACTTGACTAGAAAATATCTGAGACTAAAAATACTTTTTGAAAAATTAATTGAAAAGGGTGAGTCCCTAAATGTTTTATGTCCTTTGAAAGGGACATTCTTAATGACCTATAATGCATTAGACTTTCACATTTGGCTACTCACGCACTCATTAATTTTTAATTGGATATCATGTAGCCCAGTCTAACCTCAAACTTACTCTGCGTGTGAAGAGAGACTTGACTTTATGATCCTCCTGACTTCAGTTCCCTGGATTACAGGCTTGTGTGACCATGCCCAGTGTTTTACAGCACAACCCAGGGATTTGTTCTTGCTACAGTCTCCAGATTTAGCTACATTCCTGGCTTCTCAGTTTATTGTCCAAGTACATATATAAACACTTACTGTGTTTGAATATTATGAACACTAAAAGCTTGCAGTCTCCCAGCAGGAAGAATTGAAAATAGAGAACTTTACATTTCCTTGTGTGTTGGTTTGAAAGAAAAAGGCCCCCATAGAGAGTGGCACTATTAGGAGGTATGACTTTTTTGGAGTCTGTGTGGCCTTGTTGGAGGAAGTGTGTCATTGTTGGGGTGGGCTTTGAGGTCTCCAGGCTCAAACTATGCCCAGTGGGACAGTTCATGTCCTGTCGCCTGCAGATCAAGACACATTAACTCTCAGCTCCTTCTCCAGCACCATGTCTATCTACATGCCACCATGTCTCATCATGATGGTAATGGACTAACCCTCTGAACTGTGAACAACACAAATGAATGTTTTACATTATAAAAATTGCTGTGCTCATACTGTCTCTTCAGATTAATAGAAACCATAGCTAAGACACCTTGTGACTTTTACTATACTCAATCCATCTAAGGGGATTGATTATTCTAAATCTTATTGTTCAGTATATCTTTTACAAAGATGTCTATCACAATAAAATACTATAGCTAAACATTTAACCAAGTTGTGTAACACAAAATATGAACACACTTTGTTGGCCTCTTCAGTAAAGGAATGAATTTGAATTAGCTGAACCATTCCATGAGATTAAACCGCTGTGTATTGGTAAAAAAAAATCAAGCATGTATTGTTTATTAAAAAAGTCTTACATTTAGTTCCGTTCCATCTGCTAGAGTATAGTCAAAGTTGACACCAAGTTCAAACACAATTTCAAGTGTGCGAAAGGTGCTTGATTCTTTCACTGTGAATTTATTTCCGTCTTGTGTGATGGTCAGTTTCAAATTGTCATGAGCTCCAAGCTTCCTTTTCACCAAGTTAACGCCTGCAAAACCAGAGAGATTGGAGGGAACAAGAAATGAAAATGCCACGGAGAGTGTTTCCCTTTCTAAGCTCTGTCTTGGTTTGCTCAGGTTTATTTTGTGGGTGGAGAAGAAAGAGCAAATAGCGTTGTGTGCACAGCAAGCCTGAGATGCTTTCAGAGAAAGGGGAGGCTCTGGCAGACCCAGAGAACTGCTTCAAGCAGCTTCCAAACTAAGAAAATGGAAATGAAGCAACAGACTGCAGCACCTTAGCCCTGGGTCATTTTAACAAGACTGACAGCCTTTTTGCTTCAATGATCAGTCAAATTCCAGCAATGTCGAATGGAGTATTAAAAAGTATATTCATATTCTAAAGAAACACGAGTTCAGTTCTGGATATTTATTAATTTTCAACACTACTTTGCTTTCAAAATGGCATTTATTTATTTATTTATTTATTTATTTATTTATGTTGTTGTTGTTGTCATTTGAAACTGGGTCTTGATATATAACCCGGGCAGGTTCCCAGCTTTCCAGACAGCCTAGGCTAGCCTTTACCTCACAATCCATCCATTTCACTCTCAAAAGTGTTAAGGTCACAGGAATACGGCACCATGTTTTGCTTGCTTCATAGTTATATTTAATTTTTGTGGTATTTCTGATTGCCTCAAGCCAGAAAAATTAGAGATTTTATAATGAAACTCATTGTAATATGAATGTACAAATTTCATTAACTTAAATTTGGAATCCCTAAAATTTGAGACATAATTGATGCAGGTTTTATTTTGAGAAATGACATATATTTTTTGCACAATTTGTAGTGTAGATTACCAGAATATTAATAGACATTTTAATATAGTTAAATTAACCTCTGGAAAGAATACACAGTTTTCTGTGTTTATTCCTAAAGTTAGATGAGTCTGAGAAGAGAATTACATAGAATTTATTCGAGGTGAGTTTTGATAAAATTCTTTTCTTACCTTATTGAAAGATCCTTGTTTTTTACCCCTATAATCCAGTGTTAGTTTAAACTCTGGAAATTATCATAACTCACACACACCATCAGTTTTCAGTTAAGTGAGCACAGTTAACAGACAAGGGAGGAAAACACATGGGCTCTAACACTTGCCCTGGGGAGACAAGATGTTCTTCCTAAAGCAGAGAGTGTGGATATGGATTTAGTGGCTCTATACAGTCACACGTGGAGCCTTACACATCACCAGTCATTCCCTAAGGCACAGACAGGAGAAAGCAAACAGTGAGCTGCACAGGTGGACAGTCTTACCCATTTTCTCCATGAACGTATCATAGTTCTCATTCCGGTCTACTTTCCAAGTCCCGTCAAATGCCATGATCTCAGTTGTGAGTGCCTCTGGGGAAGCAGAGCTATGGTCCTATCCACAAGAGAGAACTTATTCTACTTCTTATCTTCAAACCAATTCATAGTATGATGTGGAAGTTTAAAGTTCAAGAGATTACCTAATTACTTTACGTGCCATGCCCTTTTAGCTTGTCTTTGCATGCTTTCTTTGAATCTACTTCTGTTATTCCTCTTGAAAAGTGGATTGCTCAGTTCTCCATCATGAACTTTATAAATGCCATCACGTAGTCTTGTTGAAATGTCACATTATAGACCTAGGTGCTAAAGCCTGCAAAGCAGCCTCTCAGGCAACAAACTTACAGAAAGTCATGAATTTTGAAACCTATGGATGGTGGTGGCTGCTGATGGAGAGTCACTGTCCTTTGAGGACATGGCTAGTAGGTTATCAATGCTCCAATAGGTAGACCTACATTCACAAGTATATGGGCAACAGTTATTATAACAACCAAGGAGGACATGAAGTTGGGAGGATGATGGGATAGGGGCCATTAAGGGAGTTGGAAGGAGATGGTGGCGGAATGTTATGATTAAATTGTATAAACGTATGAAAATTTCAAAGAATAAATTTAACTGTTTTTAAAGAAGCCACAGGTTGGAGAGATTGCTCAGTAGGTTATGAACACATGATGTTACTAGGTGGTGATGGCACACACACACACACACACACACACACACACACACACACACACACACACTCCTTTAGTCTCAGCACTCAGGAGGCAGAGAGATGGATCTATGTAGTTTAGGGCAGCCTGATCTACAGTGAGTTCCCAGACAGCCAGTGCTGTGTAATGAGACTGTGTCTCAAACACACAGAGAAACAAATAATAACAACAAACAAAAAAATCTATTCTTACATACTATTCTTACAGAGGATGCATTTTGATTCCTAGAACCCACATAGGTTTACTCTTAACTGTGTGTAACACCAGTTCTTGGGCATCTGATGCCTTCTTTTGGATTCTGTGAACCCCTTGCTCATACATACACAAACCCTCACACAGACACATATACACACATAATTAAAAACACAATAAATATTTTAAAATAAAGATTCAGTCTTTATTACAAATGTAAGGCCAATCTTTGGCCAATGGACTAGAAATATGATATGTTAAAAAAAAGAAGCATGTGTTTTAGAAATGAACCAAGTTTTAGTATTGCAAGCATAACACCCACTATCATGCATAGCTTCAGATTATCCAACCTGCCTGAGGCTCAGTTTCCTCACGTATGAAGACAACAGTGTCTCATATATAGGACATTTTTAAAAGCACTGTATAAAAGCACCAATCAGAATAACTGGTAGACATCAGGTACTTAATAAACCTAAGTTTCTGTCCTCATTGTCTGAGAAAGGAAGTTTTACACCAATACCAATGTAGTAGGAGCACCTCAGGCCTTTAACCACTTTATTATTTTGTGAAGAAAATCCATATTTTTGGTGATTAGATAGTTATTTTCTTATTTAGTGGCTGATACAGATGACTCCTTGGGTTGTGTGTGCCTTGGATTTGCCAGGAAGAAACTAGAGTGGTTTCTCACCATTGTTCACCTAACAGTGTTTCCACACTAGGACTCCCTGCTTTGTCTGCGGTTACTTTAAACTACTGAGAGGAGAAAAAGGCTCAGTTGTAAGAGCATACTGCTTGGATTCACACACGCTGCTAACAGATGAACATATTATACTTGGTCTTCCATTTATCAACTTGGAAATCCCATTTTCGCTGTATTGTATCGTCACTAAATGTTTAAATGCCCACTCAATCTTACAACATTATAGTTCTCTAGTTTTCCCTCTATAAAGCTACTCAACTTTTACCATTTATTAGAGTCAATCTAGAAAAGGAAAATTATATAAGACCTGTAGGCAGCACAACCTTTACCTTAAAGATTTTTCCTGTTGGTAATTTTGAGTCAGCTTAGTGTGAATCTAACCCATTTGTTTCTTGTTCTTATAGAACCCTAAGACTTAGCATTTTAGGATTTGGGGAAATGTGGAAATGTGACTGCAGATGCCGTGGGCAGTGTGGAATTCGTCTGTCCTCCACTCGACTCTGCAGTCCTTATCCCTGAGTGAGTGATCTGGAAGAAGTGTCAACTAGCAAAGCTCCCTGCTGATTCCCACCCATGTCTCCAAAGGAAAGCAGCACACTCTTCAGCACTGTTATTCCTCATCCTGTGCTCCAAGGTGTTTCAAAGTGTGCCATGTGCTTCAAGGTCTTACTGCTCTACTGAGCCTGCTCTAAACTATAAGAGTGAGTCTGATGATACCCTTCCTTGGTCTGTGTGTAAAGGTCATAGTATAGTCCAAAAGACAAAGAGTAGATTCATGATAAAGGTTGAATATTATTATCATGATATCCAGAGATGTCAGTAACAACAGAAAGAGGATGCCCTGAGCTTATCTCAGAGGACTGACCTCCAGAATCTCACAGAAATCCCTGTTTCCTAGGTTATTCTTTTGAATATATCATAAAAAAAGAAAGAGGGCATTTTAAGGCATGGTGTTTGCCTCAGAATTTATGAACTCTGCTTTTTATTCCAAGCTGTTCAGCTTTCACATATCAAAGACTAACAGAATGTGAAAAAGTATTGGATTGACATAAGAGTTTTAAGATTTTTGTGCATCCCTAGCAAAGAATGGAGAATGGGAGCATTCTAAAGTTTTCCAGCAAACTACTGAATTCTGTATTCATGAACTGTTAAGACTTGCTTGATTATGTTTCAGAGTCTGAAATGATTGGTTGGCTTCTTTTTAAAGACTATAGGTTTGGCAGCATGCAGAGGATGTCTAAATATAATGGAAAGTATACTTTATTGATTTTTAATAACAGAAGAGTGGTATTGAAGGATTCATCATACTTGTCATTCAAAAACTGTCAGTACCCTTTTTCTCCTTTCTCCTCTTCTGTTTTTCTGAAACAGGGTTTTGCTTTGCAACTCAAGCAGGCCTTGTATTCTTTGAGATCCTCTTGCCTCCATGTCCCAAGGCATGGAATTCCAGGCATGTCCATCAAGTTAAATGATTATGCCTGAGGAAGTATGAGTCCTCCATGGTTGTGTGTTCGTGTGTGTGTGTGTGTGTGTGTGTCTATGTGTGTGTGTGTATGACAACCTCTTCTTTTGTGTTCACTTCAATTTTGCTCTAATATCTTCCAGCCTATGTCAGCATTGCTACCTGCCATCTTGTCTCATCTATCTTGTCTATCTACCACATAGCACTATCCAGAGTTATCAGCTATCTACGCCTATCTACTTTTATCTGCCTCCTATTACTGAAAACCCTGGTGTGCCACCATCTCTAGTGACCTCAAAGTCCATATGGATAAGCCACATCTCTCTGGTCTTACCCTCCCTTAACTCCGGGCAATCACGATCCATCTTTATCTCATTGCTTCACATACTTAGTCCCAAAGCTGTGTCCTGTGATGTGTCATCATCCTGGCACACCGTCCAGAGCACACCGCTGCAGCCATGGCTTTCATCCTCTCGGTTCCTTTGTTTTCCCCACAGCCTCAGCTCTTGGTCTTTCAAGAGAAATTATCTTTTGTGTTCTATTAATGGTATTTCCATTTTCTCTATCAAAGATAATTATATTTTTTCTATCAAATGTTATTAATCCAGCCAGGACTCATATTTCCTGAATCTTCCTCTCCCCCTGTGTAACCAATTGAAGCACATCGTGAAGTCAAACTCTCACCAAAGGGATGAAATGGAGTCACCATCCAGATCAGAAAAACGGCGGGCACCTTGGCCCTGCGTGCTGGCCCGCCAGGTTTGGGCTCTGGCACACCATTTTTACAAACAGAATTGCCCTGACACTTTCTTTAATTTGTTCATGTGTTCCTTCCTGTAAAGAGAAAATCAGTCAGCTGTTGTCCCTCAAGTTAGAGCCTCTTCTTGATTTATCGGCATCTCTATCCTAGTCAGTATCCTCTTGCCAATAAAAACAAGACAAACACTCCTTCATGCCATTTTTCTGATGACGGGGTGCTATTGCACATTTATATTTCCTAGTTCCACCCTCATCATGTGCCTGCTTGCTAAGACTTCTGTGTGGATTTCTGCATTTGTAACAAGGTCCATGCCTTTAGTCATCTTATAGCCTTACCCTTGTCCTCAGCAGATGGCCTGCAGGAGGAACCAACCATCGTTCAATTCTCCCCTAACTTTATGCCTTCTCAGTTTTAAAGCTACTTGTTATTTCTCTTTTAATTCTTTCACCCATGTGTGTTCGGAATTGTATCCATTTCCATTCAGAGGACAGGCTGCCCATATTTGATCATCTAATGTGTTACCTCATCACAAAGTATATACTGCCATCTTCTATATGACAAGGTCCTGTTTCCCCAGCACAGTGTTCTGACTTCTCACCTGCTTTGCAGCTTTATTGAGGAATTCCTATCTGCGGGATCACCCAGGAGATGTAATTGAAGATAGATGACTCAGAAACTATCTAGATGTCACAATGCTACATGGGACTTTGGCTCCTTGTGAAGTGAGGCAGAGCTACATACTGAGATCCAGGCCAACAAGGGCACAGTGAGACCTTATCTCAAAACAAAATAAAACAAGCAAAAATCACTATGTCAACATTGTTTTATCTTTAGAAATTCTTTTATTTGTTGTATATGTGTATGCATGAATGATTTGTTGCGTATAAGTGATATATGTACATATTAGTGCCTATGTGCTTACAGAGGTTGGCGATGAATGACTTTGGTCAATCAGCTTTTTCACCCTTTAATTTTTGGGACAGGGAAAATGTCCTTACTGGAAAAATGAAGACCAAAAGTCGATGATAGAAATGAGACTGACTAAGGATAAGCACTGGGGGCAGAGCCCTAGCTTGCTCTCCTGGGTAACTGGGGTGCTGCTTATGCCTGGAAACTATGACTCTCCTACAACATCGGAGGTAAACCACCCCTTTGGCTTAGCTTATTATCTACATGGGAGGTCAGCCTTTAAAACAGTTGGTCAGAGGTTGAAATTTGCTCCCACTGTCTCTACCCTTTCCGTCAGAATTTGCCTCTTTAAACATTTTTCTGCT